GACTATATGTTTTTAAACTAACATTCATTCACAAAGCCATGAATAAGCACTATCTGGAAAAAACTGTGTCAATGGAACGTTTTCCGAAATTAAGCCTTTGAAGCTCGAGGTCAGAAGAGTACATAAAGCTCCTCGTCAATTACTGATCCCCGAAAAATAACTAGGATTATTGAGACTGTGGATAACTGACTTAGGTGGTCGGGGCTAATTGTGTTGAACGGGGATCCTAGCTTACATCGAAGTAATACCTAACGATTAACATTTAGCCTGGACAATTATATCATGATAATAACGTGAATCGACCATCCAAGTGACTGGTCAAAATAAATACTGTCAATAGGTGACAGAATGTATTCGTATTCACGGGTTACAGAAGTAAAATAGGAAGCCAATGCTGCATGTGATTATTCATAGCGTTCATTTGTTTTATCTACGTTGGTTCTCCCTGACTTCGACGATGGTCAAAAAACTGGCCAACGTTTGGCGCCTATCTCCTGGACGATATTGTTAGGGCCCAGTGACAGTTCACTGACAGTAAGGAAAAAATTGGTACTAAAAGCCAACAATCTAAAATTGATAAAAACGAGAACTATAACTCCCAAATTGAGTAATATCATCAGAGATTTGAACAGTTACTTAGTTCATAATAAGACATTAACGGTAAACAATATTCATGCTTTAGTTCGTAGCACTCCAGTGCTAACACAATGCAATCATTTTCAACCATGGTAAAGGTATGGACAGAATCCTATCAGACGCAATGACTGTTAGTGGTATCCAAAGTCTTGAACCACCATATTTTTGCACATCTTAACCTTGTGGTTGTTTTGGTTATTTTGACTTGGATTGCATAGATAGCACGGCCAGTACTTTTATAGTGGCACGATAAGTAAACACAAAACAGCGACGATACCCTTAGGATTTCTTCATAAAGCTTCCTTGTGTGTCAGTAAAATGCAGTTAATGTTAAAAATGTTCGGATGTTGAGTGCTTTCAAGGCTGACAAGTACAAGATAATGGTAGCAAAATATTAACATAGTTGATATTATTATATTAGTTTCTAACTAGAGAAATATAACATTTCTAGTTAAATTGATAGTAGACAAAGTATTAAACAAAATTTTGCACACACGTAAGCAATGGATTTGTAAAATGATCAGTACAAAGATATAAGAGGCATGTATTCATGATGAACCATATTGCTCGTTCTTCATAATGGATTCTTTTTACTCTTGAGCACTACACAACATTTAAGAGGACTATAGAGATCACAAGTAATAGCACAGACGAATTTGGTAGCAAAATATTAACATAGTTGATATTATTATATTAGTTTCTAACTAGAGAAATATAACATTTCTAGTTAAATTGATAGTAGACAAAGTATTAAACAAAATTTTGCACACACGTAAGCAATGGATTTGTAAAATGATCAGTACAAAGATATAAGAGGCATGTATTCATGATGAACCATATTGCTCGTTCTTCATAATGGATTCTTTTTACTCTTGAGCACTACACAACATTTAAGAGGACTATAGAGATCACAAGTAATAGCACAGACGAATTTGTGTAGGCCATTGTATGTGAACCGTAGACTTCCATCCAGGCCGTGATACCAATTTTTAATGAGTTCTCGACTAAAGTATGATACCTTTACCCCAATATTATTATTATTCACAAACACCTTATGGGTACATAAGTGTTGTGAAGAAACCATTTCGAGTTTCTTCAAAAATGGAATAATACACAATTTTCAATAATGTTAGCATTACATTTGCCATGTTTCAGAAAGGAAGGAAAAATAAAATATTAATAATAGAGTGGTAATAATAAATCAGGTTCTGCGTCATTGGCAAGAATTTTGAATTGATTTTGAAGGAGGAAAGGAAAAAAACTAAAGAAATAGAAATAAAGGAGTCGAGGAATACGTAAATATTTTAACGCAGAACAAGAATAAACAACCACTATGTATACATAACAAAACGAATAATAAAAATAAAATAAAATAGAATAAATTAGTAAGTAAACAACTTATTATTGCGGTAAGATATGACATCAGAATAAGTGTTTGTGCGTGTACAATCATAGTTTTGGGTGATGCTATGAAAGTCTCAATTAAGTGCAAAAGATAATCAATATGTATGAGGTGTATATACATAGTAAAGATAAAACGAGTCCGATAAGTTGAATTCAGCGTAACACAAGTTATTGTCTTAATCCAAAGCTTCGTAATCTTAAGAATAATATTTATTTAGAAGGAAAAAAAGTGATGTCGACCGAATTTCCACTATTATATTTCATTAATACCGCCGTTTGTACTATGTAGCCATCAAAATAGCCAAAGTACGAAAGGGTTATCCACGTTGGATACTATCCGTAAGGTGTGATTTCCTTTTCAGCGGATTGGTCACGCCATTCCAGTTTATTCAAGCAGGCCCTCAGTCATTCGACACAGATGATCTACGTTAGGGAACTACAAGTTCGGCACTCGTGAATTAATAAAAATATTCCCGGGATGGGATCAGATATCTATCTGCAAGGATCTCAGTGACCTTCTAAGCAGACAGTGAAAAATTATTAATGATGCTCCGAATCGTGATGTAACCCTGAGTTTAGTCAAACGCGGCCCGGTTGCTGAAAGTCCGGCAACATATAAAGGTAAGATCAAGTGATAAAATATAAGTCTTTAACCAAAGCTAAACAATAAGATTCTGACAAGGAAGACTAAAGAATATATTGTGTGCTTAAAAGAGACCTGCATTAAGGCTGAAACACATTACAGGGTAAATGAACAAATAAATAACCATACTGTCGACCAAATGCTTTGGAGGGATTTTCAGAGTGTTATTTCCATTACAATCGGTAGTAAGTTTGCGGACGACTGAAAATTATATTAACTCAAAAATAGCAATAAAGTTATTACGTCCAAATGTTAATGTTTTAATGTATCAATTATAAAGTACAAACAAAAATAAAAGTTAAGAGATGTAACTTAATTCAGCAGGCCGGTGTGTATTTCGTTGCGTTTGGTACCTGAATCCACAATCATAGATAATTAATAAATCCAGTGAGGTTGATATGCTTCCAGTAATAAAACAAAACGTAGAATATAATGGAAACGTCGCCGCAGTCTATAAACGTAGATGATAGATGTTTCAGAATTCATTCATCGTATCCACAAGCAACGGAGAACGAGAGACGTGTGTATAGTGGTGCATTTACGAGCAGTTAACAGCATGTGTCATGTAATGAATAGTACGGAACGGAAAAGTGTGTTCAAGGTCATACATGTAAACAACATGTACAATCATTTTGTGGCAAATGCACAGACTACGAAAATTACCAAAATAAATGCAAATAATATCAAAAGCTATTAACAAAGTAGGTTTGTAATGCCTAACTCCACAAGTTGATGTAAGCTTGTCACTTTTTTCAATCAATGGAATGGGAATACAATTTCTACTGTGGTCCCTGAAGGATTAAAGGAAAAATTGTGAAGTTTTATACATGCGGATCATCTACGGACCAGATGATCATTCCCAAAAAACGATCTGTTTTCTGGTTCTGCTAGACAGTTCTGAAACATTCACAGTTCAAATAGTTCAAATGGTTGAGAACGGAATAGAAGAAGCTTTCGCTTAACGGGCTTCCGTGTCTAATAGCAGTGGATCACCAATACCTCCAGGCAAGAACCTAGGTATGTTAACTATAATAGAGGAAAAAAAAGAATTCGGTAAATCATAATAGTATGTTATCCCTAGTCCTTAAGAGTAAGTCAAGTTTCCTCTTAAAGGACTCCTGGGAAGTGGCTTGCACTAGCTCAATCGGCAGCGAATTCCAGCATTTAACAACTCTTAAAGAGCAAAAGTTGTGTCCGCAGTCTGTTCTGCTATGTTGTGTCACCAGTTTCTGCGTGTTACCTCCAAAGTTAGTGTTTTGACTAAGCTTAAGATGTTTAAGGGGATGATCTGAAGTGTTAAGGATACTGTAAGTCATAAGAAGGTCACCTCTAAGACTCCTGTACTCTAACGGGTAAAGGTTAAGTGATTGGAGGCGCTTATTGTAAGGTTTGAATTTGAGTCCCCGAACTGATTTCGTGGCTCGACGTTGGATACGTTCCAGTGTGTCCTTATCCTTTTGGAGGGAGGGGGAAATCCTATGTTTTCGTACTCCAAATGAGGACGAATAAAACTGTTGAAGATTATGTGGAAGGTTCTACCGTCAAACTGTCCAAAAATACGCTTCAATGTTACCAGTGCAAAGTTTGCTTGAGAGGCGTTTTTGTCACAGTTCGCATACGATTTAAGGTCGTAGGGTTCCAACACTCCTAAATCCTTTTCGACCTTAGAAACTTCTAGAGAGGAGTTTCCTAAGTTGTAACTATAGTCTGCAATATGTCGCAGATGGACTACTTTGCACTTTGAAGTGTTGAAGGTAAGTCAGTTGTCGTCTGCCCAACTTTGAAGTCGAGTCAGATCCTTCTGAAGTGCTAGTATATCCTTTTGGTTACGTATCTCTCTCCAAAGTTTCACATCTTCAGCTTGTTAAGTAAGATCGTTAATGTAAATCAAGAAGAGAAGAGGTCCTAAAATTGAGCCCTGGGGGCCCCACTAGGATATTCCATAGCCCGAGAGAGAGAGAGTGAAGTTAATCCTGACCTTAAAATGTCCGTTCTCTAGATATGAAGTGAGCCAGTCAATCAGAGGGGGTTTGATACCCAATCGTCTAAGCTTATTGATAAGAGATATATGGTTGACCCTATCGAAAGCTTTGCGATCAAGGATGGTTGTTCATTTATCCACCGCAGCCAGCAGGTTGGTCATACAATAATGACCCTTTCTGAAACCATAATGTTTGGGTGAGAAGAACTTTAAGGATAATAAGTATTTGTGTATACCGTCCTATGTTAGGGACTTCATAATTTTAGAAGGCATGGAGAGGAGGGCCTCTGGTCGGTAGCTTGAGGGTTCACTGAGTCGATCTCCTTTGAAAATTTGCGTGATTTGAGCGAGCTTCCAAATTACGCCATTAAACAGAAAGATGTTTCTTCTACGCACACAACAGTGAAACGTTTGAGCACATCTATATATCAGAGAGAAAAGAGGAAAAGCTAAGTTTTGTCAAGTTAATTTGTTTTGTTTAAATTGATCAATAAAATCTGCTTACTTGCCAGCCTGTAAGTACGTTTACTGTGAATCATTTCTATCTGGTTAGTTGATTTGATTCTCTCCTACTCCGACATTTCAGTTTCAGTTCACTCTCGATAGCCAGTCACCTCTCACCGCTTAAATTTTTAAGTGTAAGTACTTTTTCAGTCTAGTTAGTGAGTAACGTACGTGTGTATATACGTAGAAAATTGCGATCAGAGTAACAATCTGGCGCTGCAGAAGTGTATGACTCAACTTTAAAATTAGACGAACAACTATGAACTTACTTTCAACTCTTTAAACTGTACGCATTATTATGCTACTTGTTTTGGATTGCATATACAACTAAGGTCGTTTCCCTCTACATGTGTCACCAGTTGAAAAAGACGTAGGAATCTTGATTGTCTGTGGCCTAAAACCTTATGTTGACAGACAAAACTTCTTTGTGAACAAAGCCTTTACTGTTAACCTCAAAGCTACTTGTGTACAAACTTGGTTTCAGGATTCATGGGATCTTTCTATATATTTTTTATTTAAACACATAAATAATGGTACAAGGAAGCATCAGATAAATATGCGCCTCACAAATCTTATTCGATTTGTGTGAGGGCTGTGATACTGCCCAGGTGCCCAGACTGAAGCAGGTGGTTTTCTTAGGGGGCCACACCCGGAGCCTTTGACCTGAATGTCTGATCCACAAGGCAGTGGAGCATCGTGAGGAGATGCGGTCCCATGGTAGCCGGTAATCAACGGTTGATTCGTACGCCATTTGTTCCCTCAGGATACTGGAGCCCATGTGCACCACTGGTTTGGAGTCAGGGTTTTCCAACTCCCCTAGGTGAACTTTCCATGTCCACCAACCCGGTTAAAGCGCCGGACATTCGCTTTTCGTCCTCAATTTCGTAAACAACACCCCCGCCACGAGAAGGCAGTGAGTAGGACTTCCCTGACAGAGGCTATATATTCGCTGGCCATATGAGAGCATTTCGAGAGGAAGAGGTGACTCTCCCCACTCTCGCCCGTACCAGGGCATTTGGGGGCTCATGGGATCTAGAGACTAATAATACTAATACCTAGCTACACTAACATGTCTATCCAAGGAGACTAACTTATTGTCGGACCAATGAGACTTAGGATGACAGGTTTTGTGTCTTAGTGCGGATTTCACCTATTATTTAGGGTAAATAGCTTCTTGACATTTTAGTTGACGTTGGTTCGTAATGAGAAACCCGAAGTCTAATTCCTGTCGCTAAACAACAACAGTAAATTATAATCCTAACTCCTCCCACTGGTTTATAGCCTTCATGAAGCCCTAGTAAGTAGACGAACATTCTTAAGGTCACCTTAGCACTGCTCAAAGGTCGTCCATAAATCAATCTCATCCTCTAAATATACACAATCACTCCAGGTGCTTCGACACAGTCTGAAACAGGAGCATGTACTCCTTGTGATTTCACTTAACCATTTTCGTGTGCTCACTATTCGGCTATACAGCAAGTATTTTTATTAGTTTCAAACGTTGAAGAAAGCCAGTTTAAACGGTGTACGTGGTTTCAGAAAGACTGATTCAGTATTCGTATTCGATGGAAGCGTTCACTTTCAACCAGACAATGACTGTAGGTCGTTTAGATATAACAGAGTTCCAACCATGGGCGAGCTGCTGTATAAGTTGAAAAGTAAGGATGCACAAATTGGGAATAAAAGGGAGTGAATAAGTTACAAGGTAAACAATAATAATGTGGATTGTCTGACTTTTAGTAGGAGCGTGAATAGTACTGTCAGGAGATATCATCATTTCATTTATTTGTGTGTGGGCTGTGATACTGCCCGGGTACCCAGACCGAAGTAGGTGGTTTTCTCAGGGGGCTACACCCCGAGCCTTTGACCTAAAGGTCTAATTCACAAGGCAGTGGAGCATCGTAAGGAGATGCAGTCCCATGGTAGCCGGTGGTCAACTGTTGATTCATACGCCATTCGTTCCTTTAGGATACTGGAGCCCATGTGCACCACTGGTTTGGAGTCAGGGTTTTCCAACTCCTCTAAGTGGACTCTCCGTGTCCACCAACCCGGTTAAAGCTACGGACATTCTCTTTTCGTCCTCTCAATTTCGTAAAAAGCACTTGTGGCACGAGAAGGTATTGGGTAGGTTTTTCCTGGCAGAGGCTATGTACGCGTGGATGTGTGAGAGTATTTCAAGAGAGAGCAGACTCTCCCCACTCTGCGCCATGCCAGGGCATTTGAGGGTAAGACACATGTTATATAAAAGTATAGCTGTCCACCTCAGCCAAAAGGAAATTTGCTTGCCAGGAGAGCATGTAGAGTAGTGTGAGCGAGGAGAGTTGGAAAAGAGAATAAGAGGAAAGGTGAGCTGACGACCCAGCAAGTGCACACAATTCATTTACATTTACCAAAGAAAGCAGTAGACAACAATCAGCAATGACCAGCCTCAGGCTAAGGCAGTCTGAAAATCGAGACTAAAGGCAGATAGTTTAACCCACTGTAAGCAATACTCTTGATTTTGCGCAAACAATCCACGAGGTGCTATGTTAACACTGAGTGGTTCACTCGAAGCTGTCAGTAAAGCGTGCCTTTACATATTCACTACCCACTAAACTGGTCAAAAGAATCCTTCAGTGGTGAACTTCATATGGTCTTAGTTACTTAGATTAGTGTGCCATACTAGTTTACTAATGATTCTTTTGCTTCTGTTTGCTTCATATACCTAGATCCCTATTCAAAGGGATCGGTGATCCATTACTACTATACATATGGGCTCATTAGGCGTAAGCTTCTGCTATCCTGTCCACAGCCATTTAAACTATTTTAACTCGTTAAAAATCCTATTGTTATTAGTTCCACTTAGTGTATTCTCACTCTAGGATTCATGCATTAATGATTTGTAGATCCTTTGGGTATTTGATTGCAAGTACGTTCTTTTTAGTTACGTGTATGTACTAAATCTCTAGTGTAAGTTTCCTTTTTTTTCTCATTCAGATTCCTGTGCTTGGTGAGTAAACTGTCACCACCAAACGTACGTGTCTTCGTGCTCTTTTCGCAACTCATCCACCCTTAATATGAGAGTCTGTCAACAGATGGACATCACATTCTCGGGGATGTTTTTTCTCTTTGTTTATTTGTCCTTGTTTGCCTTAGGAAATGGAGTTTCAGTTGATGAGGTAGGGTCCAAATCTTGGTGTTATTGTCCTTCAGATATTAGAAAAAAAAATTAGGAAAATGAATCAGCTTACTACCAGCCAATCATATATCAATCTTGATACCGATCAATTTAATCTTCTGCTAAAATCACAGCCTCGGAATTACTCAGTTATATTACTTCTGACTGCTTTAAGTTCTAGTAGAAACTGTGTGCCCTGCAGGTTGGTATCACTTTGATCTCCCCACGAATGTTATTTAGACAAGCATTCGAAGAGTTTCAAGTTGTATCTACTTCTTGGAAATATTCTAAGCAGCATGATGATCGGTTGTTCTTCGCGATTGCGGACTTTGACAAGGCACCTGGTGTCTTTGAGTTTGTAAGTTATAAAAATGTAGTCACCTCTTTAGCTACATCAAGAAACTGCGCCCGCGATTGTGTATGTATCACCTAAAGGAAATATAAAACAATCGGACTACATGGATATTACGGTTAATGGGTTTTCCGCCGAAGCAATCATGCGATGGATAACGGGAATTACGCAAATCCAGGTAAATATCTTTCACTTTTAAATTTCCCAGATTCGCTTATTCCGACCTCCAAATTATACTGGAACCATGCTACTTGCCCTTTTTATGTCCCTTGGGGCTGCGGTTCTGTACTTTCGTCGAATCAACTTGGACTGTTTATATAATCGTTCACTATGGAGTGCAATATCATTGGTAAGCAGTGCATTTTTGTCAGTTATAAAGTTGGTAAAACTGTTGTATACTTCATATCTTGGAGATATTGAGTAATTCAGCTTTTATACTACTTATAAGTTAGTGAGCATATCCCAATGAATTTGGCCAAAAATTTTCGTTTAAAATATAACGACATTTATGCACATCTTTTTACATGGTTTTGGATTTCTCGCGTAAATATTTTCTTCTGTAGAGTCAAGGTTTATCATCATTCAGAGACTCATTCTTTTGAGCTTGGGTCGTTTTCTTTTTGGATTCGCCATAAAGCTTTAACTTGATTTACTAATAATTTCACGCAACTCACAATCTTCGTATGCAAATTCATTCACAGGTTTATAAAGTGGCGTAACGCCTCCGTCCAGATTGTTTTGTGTATTCGACAATCTAACCGTTAAGGATTCGTGAGATTAACTATCTACTAACGTTTATGGGTTTCAATAACGTAGTTAATTTTCGTAGGGTGTTTTCAAAATACTTATTTTTATCTTAGTGATTTAGCCTTAAGTATCATCAATAACGTGATGTTTTTTATGCATTTTGTTTGTGTTGCGAGATGCTATTAAGGGTTATAAGAACCATTCCCTTCAAATGACTAGTTTGTCTTTCAAATACTCGCGTATTTTTATTGGAACGTGTCAAGAAAATAATGAAGTACCATTAAAACAGTTAACTATCTTTTTTAACTAAAATATGTCAACCAAAAATAAATAATTTTTATAATGAAAACAAAAGTTGATGTTTATACAAACGTTCCATTCAATTGTTTCATTCTCCTGATATCCATTTTTATGTGCAAAATACTTCTGAAATCTAATCATTTTTGAATTCATAACTCAGTTTCTGCGAGTTTTATTATTATTAGTCGGTTTATTCAATATTATATTTTTGATACAATATAGAATTCTCAGCAAAAATTATTTCATCAAGTTTCACAAAAAACAGGAAAGAAACCAATATTTGTATACATATGTACATAAATTAAGTGGGTAAACTACCTGGAATTAAATGAAATGTTTTTATAAAGAAGATTCGAATCTGTACTAGTTTTTAAGAATACTAGTTATTGACTAGTTCAACTCTAACAGCCTGTTCGTCACATTGTATATTTGCTAGATAAAGTATTGCATATATTTGTCCCTTCATGGAATGAGTGGAAACATTTGTATTCCTCGTACAAATGTGATATGAAACAATCATAAAACTGTAAATTTCCCTTCAAAAGTGAGTGGGGAAAGGGATTTTTATCTGTCAATCTATTAAGAATCTTTGAATAGGATAGTAGATCTCTCGTAGCTCGGTAGATCAAGACGTCAAACACGCCTCAGAGCTAAAGATTACTAATCATAATGTGTTCTGTGTTTTTTATAGATAGCTGAATGCACTTTTCGTAAAAGCGTATCGTACGTGCATCTTTATTTATTCTTCAATAATAACAATGATATCACTGTCGTTACAATTCTATCTCAAAAACTACCAACTGAACCTCCCCCTACTCCCCAATCTACGAGCTAAGATCGGAATGCTATGGACGAAACCGCTTGTTTTTCTACCTCCACTCTATGATGTTTTAATTTGTTTTGTTTTGCACTTTTATGTACAAACACTGAACATTTGAAGTGGGAGTCGTATAAAGACTTTTAGACAACCATAATAACTACGTCCTCTAAACAATCGACTAATGAAAGATACATGGCTTCATGTTTCCTTCGTATATAAATGTGTGTTAGGGGCATCATCTAGGCGTAAGTAATACATTTCATTTAGGATTAGATTGACAGTATGTCAGGTTTTAGAAGCAATTTATCGAGCAATTTAAACTTGAGTTATTTCCAGATTAACCAGTCATTTACAGGCAGAAAATGCTTGAAATAAAGTATGTACTGTCTTTAATATCATTTTCAGTAACAACAATAAATATTTCAAGTTTATTTTGATGTTTAGGTTTACCAATACTAATGACAAAAGCAAACAGTATGAGCTTCTGGATTCATATGTAAGAGGTATGCTAAAAAACTGCCTTCAGTTGGTTTCATCATCAACAAGGACTTGTGCCTACAGAAGACTTCTGTAACAATCATTATTGATGTATCTTAGTCATTCGACAATAATAGGTCTCGTGTTAGTTAAATACGTACGTCGCTCGGTCGGTATATTTAAGAAATGTATTTATATTTAACATACCTTCCGCTTTTTTAATTCTTTGTTCTTAATTAATCTTATTAGCATTAGTGTTAGTTTGTCTTGTTTTCTTAATTTCCTATCGTCTTACTTTTTTCCAGAGTAATGACACCTTGACCCAATAAACTATTTCCCCTAGCTCCCTATTTTTTTACTATCTACTTATAATCCTAGTTCAAGCCTAGATTTTGCAAATAGAATAATCGCTAGCATTTTGTTCGTTAATGACTTGAGTGTAAGTTATTCTCAATGATCAGTATGTACAGTGTCACTTAATGAGTACTTTTTTATTGTAGGGTGTTATTTTTTGTTCTATTTCTGGGCAAGTGTACAATCATATTCGTGGACCTCCGCTTTTTCATGCGCCGCCTCCTAATGGAGAAATTGTAAGATGTGTTTTTTCCTTATTCAGCCTATATACACTCTAGAAGGCCTTTATATACGATGGTTCTGACTATCAATTTGTTGCAGAGACTTTCATTGTGATGGTTTTATGTATCCTTAACTAGTTTGGTGTTTTTTTTTCTGTTGTATGATATTTGTTTGCGTGCTCAACCTTAATTCTTGACTTACAATTAGATATTGGTTGTTCAGGTGGAATTATTCTCATGACTGAAGTTAGTTCAACTACTGATCCAACAAAGCGGAAAGGTAAGTTTCGTGGTTCGTTTATGTGCTATAGAACATACAAATGTCTTTTTTTAATGCACAGTTTACTTTTACTACATATTCTGTTGAGATGATTTCTATTCCAACACGTCCTTTGGTGATCTAATCAGCTCTAACAGGAAGCATTTACTGCATTCTTAAATTCCTCCTTGGAGCTGGTAGTTTAGCAGTTAGGACACTTAACCTTCACTAACGGGTCACAGGTTTGAACCACGGCTTGGGATGCCGTATGGTGTCACTAGTTCTCGCAGATAGAGATGAGGTTTTTTGTCAATATAGTCAATATATAATTTGTTTCTCCGAAATTCTTTGTTTAAGTATATACTTTCCTGTGCGTACCTTGATTTACGTTTTTTTCTAACAACTATTGTAATTATTCATTAAGTTTCACCTGTTTACTTATTTGTTTTTAACCATTTTACAGTTTACACAATATCAGGAATAGCCCTATTTATAATATCTATCCACTTTATACTGTCAGTCTTTCGAAGGAAATATCACGGCTATCCATATGGGTAAATTATGTTTTGTCCTTAAATAAATATTTCTTTAATAGATTATTTTTTAGATGAATATTACCAACAACATGGACGTGTGATAGCTATGCTTATTTGTTTCATTTTTTTATTATTTTAACGAAGAACCTTTTTTGTATTGAGTATTATGCATAGTCATATATCATTTGGAATAAAAGTGTTTTAATTCTTTTTTTTATCATTTTGCGTGTGCAGGAATCACAGTGTTTGCTGTCCTTTATAAGGTTGGTGTTCTTAAGATGCTTTTGGATAAAACTGGCGTCATGTTTTTTAAGCAATCTATTAGTCGATTATGAATAATTAGTATTTTGTTGAAGCCTTAATTGGTAAGCATACCTGCAGAATATTTAAACACGTAAACATTGATACAAAAATGCACCGAATAGATATGCGCCAGACTTCGTCATTCGATTTGTTTGAGGGCTGGGATACTGTCCGAGCGCCCGAACCGAAGTAGGTGGTTTTCTCGGAGGGCCACGCCCTAAGCTTTTGACCTCTAGGGGTCCAGTCCACAAAGGAGTGGAGAAACGTTAGGAGATCCAGTCCCATATTAGCCAGTGACCATCAATAGGTTTGTGCGTCATTTGTCCCTTCAGGACACTGGACTCTATGTGCAGCACTGGTTTAAAATCAGGTTTTCCAACTCCCCTAGGTGGACCCTCTGTATCCACCAACCCGGTTAAAGAGCCGGACATTCGCTTTTCGCCCTCTCGATTTCGTAAACAACATCCCCGCCACGAGAATTGGCCTACATAATATTATGTGATCTTAAATATGAGCTCCTTTTATATGCATGACCTTAATAATGTTTATATTTATGAAATTATGATAATTGGAAGACATTAACAAATGAATGTCTGGAATATTCTTATTTTTACTACTGACATAGTTGAGATGTTGATCAAAACTTTATTTCGTCATATATACTACAAATTTCAAATGGTTTTAGTCTCTGTATCCGTCTCTTACTGATTAGCGTGATGTATCGAATACGATTTGAAGCATATTCAATCCTAAGGTATGATGTGCACTCCTAGAGAAACAGTTTTAAAATGTAACAACCCAGTATTTTGTCTTTGTGTAAGATTGTCTAACGTAGATCTGTGGTGAAAACCACCTTTAATGACGAAACTAGTTTTCAGTTATCTTACAACTAATTACAGAAATGGTTACTTTGTTAGATCATAGTAAAACAACAAACATTTTAATTTAAGGTTCTAACACAACACTTGTGGGGGAAAATAAAACATGTTGAAACATCGAACGAAATCCTGAGAAGAGATTAACATCATTATATGGAGGCAGCTTTCACCATAAACTAATATATGTTAGTAAACCACTAAAAATTTAAGACTACTGGACGGCTGTTGCGCCCTCGTTTTTGACCCCCAAGGCCAACGCACTTGTTAATTAAAACGAGATCAAACCTAGGGTGTTTGAGTCTCGTAACTAGCACAATACTTGTACATCACTTAGTTTGAATCCAGTGGTGTATAATTTCAACCTTAATCATTTCACTATGTAACCCGATTATCATCCAACTCTCCCGGACATGGTTGAGGCCCATTGGTCACAGTTTCTCACTAAAACTACCTCCTGGTAGCTGATCACCAATGAATGACATGGCTCAAAGTCGTTTGCAATGGCGAAGGTGCACCCACTCTTTGTGTTCTACCAAATTCTAATCTTCTGAATTCTTCATGTCCCTATCTTTTTTCTCTTTCCAAATTTATTTCATTGTATTATACTCCTTCAACAACATCTTCAAACCCTAATCTTTCACATAATGCTTATGCTCTTACTACTTCTAACACTATGGGATTTGAATTGACAACTATATCTCTATGCTAATGTGCTATGACAACTCGAACTGACGTACGTACGTACGAAGTTCTATGTTGTGACTGACTGATCACCAATAACCACGTTATAGATTGCTCAAAATGGATACTATACGTTTGAAAGAGAAACAATATATGGATTTACTAGTACATTGGTTGACGAGATGTTTTATTTTGGTTATTAATTATCCCTCTAATATCATGGGATAACGGTCTTGTTGAATAGACTTAGTGTGTGAAAGTGACTAGTCATGTAATTTACTACAATCTTATCATTTATTTCAGTCAGTAACATTTAAATAGAACTCGGCCATTCAATCAGCGTGGTCTTTATTGCTAGCTTTGTCAAAAGCAACTTTTTGTCACGTGGTCTTGGGGGCTACAACAAATCTGTCAGCGCTGATCTTATGCTAATAATAATTCTAATATGTAGTAAAAAGTATGCTATTTTTTGTTTCTTCATCCGGTTGACAGTTATGAGATTTATCAGTGATATCTACAAATTATGGCATAGGACTTCTCTAGCATTGTAGGGTTAGACACCACTCTGTGAACCTATTGAACATTAATCTGAGTCAATTCGAGAGACCTTGACTTTATGGTTGGAGTGGGCGTGATTAACAAAACCGATTGTTCAAAACTGTAGGTGATGTGACTGGGAATCAGCATCACTGTGCCGCTGCTGCATTCATTGTCTTAAGTTTAGAAATAGCATTGTGTACCTTGATCTCACTTATTTATTCTTCAAAACGTAAATGAATATTCTTTGTGATTATATTACTGTTACATATCTAACAGTAGCCCATATGTAATTGTACCACAGTTGATGAGATTATTAGTCTTCGAGGAACCCCAAATACCCTGGTACGGCCGAGAGTGGGGGGAGTCCACTCTCCCTCTCGAAATGCTCTCACATGGCCAGCGAATATATAGCCTCTGTCAGGGAAGTCCTACTCACTGCCTTCTCATGGCGGGGGTGTTGTTTACGAAATTGAGAGGACGAAAAGAGAATGTCCGTAGCTTTAACCGGGTTGGTGGACACGGCGAGTCCACTTAGGGGATTTGGAAAACCCTGACTCCAAACCAGTGGTGCACATGGGCTCCAGTATCCTGATAGAACGAATGGCGAATAAACCTATTGTTGGTCAACGGCTACCATGGGACTGCATCTCCTTACGATGCTCCACTGCCTTGTGGATCAGACCTTTAGGTCAAATGCTCGGGGTGTGGCCCCCTAAGAAAACCACCTGCTTCGGTTTGGGCACCCGGGCAGTATCACAGCCCACACACAAATAAATGAAATGATGAATTCTATTGACGATACTATTCTCGCTCATACTAGAAGCAAGACAATTTACACTATTATTATTATTACCATTATTACTTTTATTATTATTATTATTATTTACTACGTCGCTTTTTCACTCCCTTTATTCCTCACCATTCCTCTTCAATTTTGCTATCGACGACATCCTGGAAACAGCTCTGATGGATGTAAGTAATGGCGGTGTGGATATGTTGCCTGGAGAACGACTTCTCGACCTCGAGTATGTGGATGATATTGTCTTACTGTGCGATAATGCCCAAGGCATGCAATCCGCACTTAATCAGTTGGCAATCAGTGTCCGCAGGTACGGCATGTGCTTTGCACCCTCCAAGTGCAAAGTACTCCTACAAGACTGGCAGGATTCTCATCCTGTACTCACCCTGGTTGGTGAGCAGATTGAAGTAGTTGAGAAGTTCGTGTATCTAGGTAGCTATATAAGTGCTGGTGGGGGCGTGAGTGATGAGATTGATGCACGTATAATGAAAGCCAGAGCGGCTTATGCCAATCTGGGCCATCTTTGGCGCCTTCGTGATGTTAGTCTGGCTGTAAAAGGTCGGATCTACAACGCGTCGGTGAGAACAATTTTGTCCTATGCTTGTGAAACCTGGTCTCTCCGAGTTGAGGATGTTAGACGACCATGTTACTAATGCAGAGGTTCGGCATCGTGTGTTCGGGCGCAGGGACGATAATTCAATTGGTGTCACCATCTTGAAACACCGACTTCGGTGGCTTGGACATGTTTTACGAATGTCGTCCCAGAGACTTCCACGTCGTGCATTATTTGCTGACTCTGGGACTGGTTGGAAAAAGCGGAGAGGAGGTCAGTGTATGACATGGTGTCGTGGCATGAAAGAGAGCTGCAAAGGGCTAGCTTCTGTTGGTCCTTCACGACTCACTGGTTGGGGTCCGAGAGATGGTGCAACACAGTGGCTAGAGACGTTATCGGATATGGCTCAGAATAGAAGCCAGTGGCGATCCTGCTGCAACCTTCTTTTACTTTCTACATAAAGAATGGTTCTAACTTTCTTAACTGAAAGAGTTTTCTGGTTGTACATTTCAGTCCGCCTTATCTTTTCATTCCTTCTCTTCCTACTTTCATTATTTTGTGTGGCGCATATGTATCTGGTGCCCTTTTGTATCAATATATATGTGTTTAAATAAATAAATAACCTAATAACATCACGTCCGATTTGTATATCTGCTAAGTTATTAGTCAATCAAGAAGTTATCTCTGTTGTCAAAGGTTAAATACGTGACATCGGATAGATTTAGCATCGTGCAAATCATTTTCAATCCATTGAGTAAAGGGAACTGATATCATAGTTCTTCGTAAGATCAAGCTTGATGAAGGATCCATATGAGTTAATATCCTAAAGGGATGAGTTTTTAATGAAAACAGTTTTTCATAGAGAAGTCTTATCATAAAACTCTGGAAAGCCTCGTTAAAATCACTAAATACATCCATGTTTAGTTACTTTTAGTCCGACAGATTTTGTTTAATAAGGAGCAAAAGAATATCAATATTATTTTTGTTTGCTTCTTGATGCGGGCAAACTATTTCTTTTTCCCTCAATTTACATAGGGACGACTGTTGATCTTTTGTTACAGTCGCATTCATATATTAAAAATTCATACTGTAGGCATGCATTTTTTGTTTGCCCTGAGTTGGATTCACGATTACGATACACGTTCTCAAGAACTACAGTTCAGTATTAATTTGTTTCCTCGGATAGGATAAATGCTGGACAAAGACATTTCGACAGAGCTTTGAATAAAACGACCCTAGAAAACTGTCTTACCTCCTATTAGTAAGATTTTGAATTCCTTCTGTCAGCTTTCCGATTACTTCTACAGCATACAAGAATAACATGCCGTTTCTGATTCCGGTAGTACTGAGAATCACTAATTGTAAAATAGGAAGACATCACATTTTTAAGCACTTCCAGCTACGAAGTGGCTACACAAAACACCATGCTGCGAAATAAATTCCCTTTGACTGTGACC